CAGGGATGGACAAAGAAAGACAGGCAAACACAAATAGACCAAACAAAACCAAAAACAAATAACAATCGCCCAAATAAAATCTCAAAGAGAAAACAGACCAGCCCAAACAGAATCTCAAAGAGACAACAGACTGGCCCTAACAGAATCTCAAAGAGATGACAGACTGGTCCAAACAGAAACTCAAAGAGAGGACAGACCAGCCCAAGCAGAATCTCAGAGACAACAGATTGGAGAGCGTCCTCTCCCCTGATGGGAGGGCGTCCCCTCTTCAGATCGACCAGCCTCAGAAACAAACGTGCACACCAACCCCAATAAAGACCTGTTATCTTACTTTGTTGGCGCCTTGAGATGTCAAATGGGAGAGTTGAGTTCCCGTGGGGATCCCAGACGAGCCCCCAAATATTGTAACTCAAAAATGAGGCAGGCTCAAAAGTTTAAAAAGCGCTTTATTTTAGCTGGTACCCAGCGGCAACACCCAGCACAAAGTGCCTCAGTGTGCACCTCAGGAGGGGAGCGTGGGGTTTATAAAGCTTAAAACCACAAAGCAGGCGGGGTACAACTCAAGGAGTTCAAGGAGACATGGCAGCTGTTGAGACTAGACATGGTTAGGGGTCTGGAGAGGTTCTTGGAATTTAAGGGTGTAGGAACAGCAGTGGACATTTTTGGAACTCAAGGATGGGGTGAGGGCTTGCAGAAACAGAAGTTCTGTGAATAGGCACACATTTTACAGCAACTGACATGGTTCACTAAGATGACGCGCACAGAGCAGGATGGCGGCGCTTTGGTCAGGTTATAACAGAAACGAGGACACATCAGGTTGCTCTGAGAGGTACCCAGGCTGCTATGAGGGCCCTTCCTGAGACCTGCACAGCTCCACTTTCTCCCCTTTGGGAAAGGGGACTCTGGAGGGGGACCAGCGTGTGCAGCTCCGGAGCCCAGTTCCCTTCTCTGTTCTTGTGACAATCAGCACTGTGTGCGTCATGGGTGAGTGAAGCTTCTGCTCCCAGGGGTGCTCTTGGAGGGTGTCCCCCCAAGAGCACTTCCTGGAAGCTCTGAAATAACCATTTCATGCATGGTTTTTGGAAAGGCAACAGTAAACAAGGAAAAGCTGCCAGCCAAGTGTAGTGGCGCACACCTGTGACCCCAGCACTCTAGAGCCTGAGGCAGGAAGATCCCTACAGGTTCCAAGCTAGCCTGAGCTACTGGCAGGATCAGCTCTAAAATAAAAGACAAAGAAAAAAACCTGAAAAACCTAACCCAAGAAAATAAAAATTGGGACGGCCTGTCTCTCACCACCAGGGCTTATCACCCAGCGCTGCCACTGTGCAAGAGGAAGCGGGGCTGGGGGGCTTCCTGAGAGGGGAAGCAAGTGCCTGTGATATGTGGGGCTCTCCACCAAATAAATGCCTCCAGGTCTTTGTTCTTGTGGTAGCACAGTCACAAGAACATTGTGCAAGACAGGAATCGTGGCACCCTGGAACCCTGTGTCATCTGCCGCCTGACATCTGGGGCTGGGCAGAGGAGGGGGATCCCCACACAGACCCAGGCAGACCCCACCTCCAGCTGTCTTTGCAGAAGCAGCAGTGTGACACACAACCCAAACCACTAGCAGCTCTGGGTCTAGGTCCCAACGTGGGGGTGGACAGGAATTTCATGACTCAGTTCCCAGGACTGTGTGGGTCTGTGGGCACAGCTATGGCTAAGGCCTGGGTGGGTGGGAGACATGGTGAGAGGGGGCCAAAGAGAATCCAATTCCAGACTGAGTCGATTTCTCTCTGAGGTGGGACCATTGAAGTTCACTGCTCTGGTGTCTCCAGGACCACCTGCTACTCTGAGTATTTAAGGCACAAAGGATTCCCAGGGGCAAGATGCACCTGCCTGCCTCTGGGCTGATGGCCAGTTGTAGTGACCCATGCGCATGCTCTCTGGGTGGTTGAGGCAGGAGGATCTCAGGTTGAAGTCCAGCCCAAGCAACTTAGTGCTTTAGGAAGACCCCATTAAAAAAACCAAACCAAACCAAACCAAACCAAACAAAACAAAACAAAACAAAAAAACCCCTATAATCCCAGCTCTTGGGAGGCTGTAAACAGGCAGATCACTACGAGTCCGATCTAGTAGTGAGAGCCTGAACACCACATAGACCCTTCCCTAAAATACAAAATATAAAATGATAAAATAAAATAAATAAAATGATAAAGGATGGATAGAAAGGGATAAGGGGACAGATCTCTTGCAATAGGGGAGGGGTCCAAGAGAACAAGAGTGAGGGGTGAGGAGAAAAGGGGGAAATAAGAATAGAAATAAGCCATGTACAGGAACCTAGTAACCACAGTTAATGTAAGCACTAAGCCATAACATGAGCTAAGACAAATACTATGAACACGTACAAAAAAGAGGATAGAGGAATTGGGAGAGGAGGGAGAAAGGAGGAGGGAAGAGAAAGAGGATTTTTTTTTGAAAATAGCATATATTTGTTTCATAAATGATTATAAAAGTTTTGCACATTCACTATGGAAAACTTAAAAATGCCAAAAATATAAACTAGAAAAAATAATCACTTATAATTCCATTACAATAGAGATAAAAAATGTTGATATTCACATTTGAGAGCCCTGTCTTTTTAAAAGTTGATGCATACTTTTTTTATTTTATTTGTTTTTTTTGGTGGAACTGGGGATTGAACTCAGATCCTTGCGTTTGCCAGTCAAGCACTTATCCTACTGAGCCATCTCCCCGGCCCCTGCATACTTTTTTTAAATAAAATTTGCTCTCGTCATAGGTTATAGCCATGATTTTAATTTATAAAGATTGAAATGGGAAAGATGTTTCCTAGAAGTTTAAGTCAAATAACCATATGTATTAATCTCTTTTCTGTTCTACCATGAACAACTCTAGGCAGGTTAACTTCTAAGGAAAAGAGGTTTATTTATCTCACCATTCAGGAGATTCATGGGGCTTTATCAGGGGATAGCCTTCTTGCTAGGAGAGTCCTGAAATGGCTTAGGGGAGAAAGAGGATTTTTATTTATTTATTTATTTATTTTTTCTTTTTTCTTTTCTTTTGCGGAACCGGGGCTTGAACTCAGGCCCTTGCACTTGCTAAGGAAGTGCTTATCCCACTGAGCCGTCTCCCTGGCTGAAAGAAGATTTTTAAAAAGAATCAGTCTAAGGGCCGGTGAGATAGCTCCGCGAATTAAGCACCTGCTTAGGCAAGCCTAGGGACCAGGGTTTGATCCCTGGCACGATATGCCATGCTAGCCTCGCCCCCAGGGGCACTGAGCAGGTCACCCAAAGCAGGGGTGGTGACGCACGCCTGTAATCCCAGCGCTGGGGAGGCTGAAAACAGGAGGATCACTACAAGTTCAAGTTGCATAGTGAGACCATACACACACACACACACAAACACACACACACACACACACACAGTAAAAAGGGCTGGGGCTGGACCTCAGGGTGAGGGCCCTGGGTTCAATCCCCACTATCATGGGGTGGGGGAGGGGGTGAATAAAAAGAAAGAGAAAGTCACACTTTTTTTTTTCCCCCTGAAAGTCACACTTCCACATTCAAGAGGCTTTTTTTTGTGTGTGTGTGGGGGGGCTTTTTTTTTTTCTTCTCAGTACCGAGGATCAAACTCAGGACCTTGCACTTGCCAGGCAGTGCTTATGCTACTGAGCTATCTCCCCAGCCCATGCAGGAGCTTTTTGAAACAGAGTTTCGCTATGCAGTTCAGGCTGGCCTTGAACTCACTTTAAGTAGCCCAGGTTGGCCTGCAACTCGCAGCTGTCCTGCCTCAGCCTCCTGAGAGTGGGGAATTACAGGAATGAGCCACCGCGCTCGGTTCAAAATGCTTTTTTTAGAGGGGAGGCCTTGTCCGCGATTTCCAGGCCCCGCCCCCGGGTTCCCAGAAGGATTCCCAAGAAATCGGGCGCACCCCAGGCAACGACTCCAAAATCTGTCCGCAGCCAGCCCACGCAGTGACCGCTGGAGCTCACTGCTCCACCCCACCGCCCCCGCCCAAGAAGTGAGCACGCGCAGCACGGACCCCAACAAAACTGCTGGCCGCGCCCCGCCCCCGTCCCCTCACTCCCGCCTCCCATTGGCTAGCACCGTCGCGTATCCGCATGACGGCGAGGTTGACCAATGGGAACGTTGGTGGGCGTTGCCGAGGGCGGGCTGGCAAGGCAGAACAGCTCGTGTCCATTGGCCGACCGAGTGAGGGGAGGAGCCGCTGGCTATAGTCGCCGCTATGTTTCTGGGACGCCTGAGCCGCCTCCTGAAGCCTGTACTTGTGTGCGGAGCTTTGACTGCGCCTGGTCTGGCTGGTACCATGGTGAGCACTGCCCGCCGCCCTCCGCCCCGCCGCCCCGCCGCCCCGCCGCCCGCCGCCCTCTGTCGCTGCTACCCGTCTCTCGTTCACCTGCCAGGGCCGTTGGAAGGGTCGGCACCCCCACTCCTCCTCACCCCTCCTGGCCCGACCTGGCCACGCGAACGCGGTGACTGCCTGGAAGTTACTTCCGCCGCGGTCGGGCCAGGGTCAGGTGACAGTGTCCGGTTTGGAGTACCGAATACCAGGGTGCTAGTCCAGAATGGCGGGCGGGATACTGGGCGGTGGGGGGCGGGGGGTGGGGGGCGAGGACGGAGGGAAAAGACATTGTTCCGGACGCTGGGGGCCGAAGCCTGGCGCTTTGAGTAGCTGAGGCCGGAGGATCGAGCCAGTTCGGCCAACTCAGCGAGAGCAGCGTGTCTCAAAATAAAAATATAACAGAAGGTGCTGGGATGTAGTTTGGGTCTGCGGGCCGAGGTTGGGGCTGGAGGCCATGTAGTGGGTCGTGGTGACCCGGCTGGGGACCGTGTCCAGGGTAACGGGCTCTGCGGTGCCCTCGACATTCTCTGAGGCTAGAAGGCGGGTCACGCGCCGTCGCCCAATGCTCCCCTCCCGCGCTTGCGTCACAGTGGAGGCCTGCCCGGGCTACAGCCCTTTATCCCGTCCCGGCGCTAGCGGGCCAGACGGTGGGCATGGGCCGTGCGGCCGCGCGCTGCCCTAATTCCCCGGGGCTGCGGGGCCGGGGCGGGGGAGGCCGGCGGCGCCGGCGCCCAAGGCGACGCCAACCCTGCGTGCGCCGGCGCAGGAGAGCTCGCCAGCGTCCCTGTAGCCCGCGGCGGGCAGCCCGGAAGATCCGAGAGAGCTGCTGTTGCGAGCTGCGGAACCCGGTGCGCGCGGCGTCCCAGCCCCTCTCTCGATCCTGGAGTCCTTTGGGATCCCCAACTCTTCTCTAACGTTAAGAGTCTTCAGTGTGGGGTCCGCGCACTTGGGGAGGAAACCCGTTTCCCTTGTGCCCTGTCCCTGGGGCCTGCCAGCCTTCCAGCACCTTGTGAGTCGCAAGTCACCGCATCGCAGACAGTGCTGCTCAGCGCCCTTTATTTCGCAGTGTGCCTCCCGGGACGACTGGCGCTGTGCGCGCTCGATGCATGAGTTCTCCGCCAAGGTCATTGACGGGCACATGGTCAGCCTGGACAAATACAAGTGAGTGCCTGCCCATGGGGAGTGCCAGGGCCACGGAGGCTGAAGCTCGCCTCAACTGACTGCCATCCCCCACTCCTCCTAGGGGCTTCGTGTGCATTGTCACCAATGTGGCCTCACAATGAGGCAAGACCGAAGTAAACTACACTCAGCTTGTCGACCTGCACGCACGATATGCTGAGTGTGGTCTGCGCATCTTGGCCTTCCCATGCAACCAGTTCGGGAAGCAGGTGCGTGCTCAGGCCAGGGAGGGGTCACAGAGGGTACAGGGCCTGGGCTGTCCCCTTCTGACTATTCCCTTTTGTCTTCGCTGCTGCCTCCCAGGAGCCGGGGACTAATGAGGAGATCAAGCAGTTTGCCGCTGGCTACAATGTCAAGTTTGATATGTTCAGCAAGATCTGTGTGAATGGGGATGACGCACACCCGCTGTGGAAGTGGATGAAAGTTCAGCCCAAGGGGAAGGGGATGCTGGGAAAGTGAGTTGCCTAGGGTGGTGGGTGGTCTGGTGCGTGGGACTGGTGGCTGCACCTTGCTTAGACTCTTGTTTGTGTTACAGTGCCATCAAATGGAACTTCACCAAGGTAAGGACTTTCAGGCAGGAGAAGTGGGTAGGTGGGGCCTTTTCATATCCTGGGGAACCTCTCGCCCTTCCCTAATGCATCCCCCCCTTTTACAGTTTCTCATCGACAAGAACGGCTGTGTGGTGAAGCGGTACGGCCCCATGGAGGAGCCCCTGGTAGGTGCCTTCCTGGAGAGGTTGGGGCCTATGGGGAGAGGATGCCCCCTAATACTCCACTCCTCTCCCTGTAGGTGATAGAAAAGGACCTGACCTGCTACCTGTAGCCCCACAATTGCGCCCCGCTGAGCCCCCGCCTACCCCGAACCTTCTACCCAGCACCATGACGGCCTGCCTGCAAACCAGCATGCTGGTGGGGCAGACCTGAGGACGCGTGCACCGCTGGAGGAAGGACCGGCCACAGCCTGGGCTCAGCGCCCACTCTTACTGCCTTGTGGGAATAAAACATAGAAGCAGGCAGCTGTGTCCTCCTCTTTGGCATGGGAGAGGACTCCCTGAGGATGGAGGGCCCCCATGCTTGGAAGATCTGGGTCAGCTGGACACGGGACTGTCCTGATCCTACAGCCTTGGGCAGGCAGGGTGCCAGCAGAGGAGATAATGCTGTAAGCAGCTGATTGCCCGCTAGCTCAGGCCTGGGGAGCAGCTCCAGGGGCGCTGGGGGCTCCATCCTTCCCAGTTCTCAGAAGCCAGTGACAAGAGGTATAGGGGGGTCCAAGGTCTGGCCTAGTGTGGTGCTCCGTCAATTGGTGTCTAGATGACTATCCAGCTTGGGTTTTTTTTGTTTTGAGACAGTCTCACTACAACTGGTAGTCCGGGTTGGCTTTGAAATAACTAGGTAGACCAGGCTGAGCAAATTTGCAGCAATCTTTCTGCCTCAGCCTCCGGAACACTGGGATTACAGGCATGCACCACCACACCTGGCTGGATTGTCTCCTGAGGACAAGGTGTGAACCATGGCCAGAAGGGTCTGCAGTCAAGCCCAGCTGCTCGCCACCATTGCAGTATCCCCAGGGAGAGCAGAAGCTGGGTAGGGACCCCTGTGTCAGGGGAGGGGTTAACAGCATGGGGGTCCTTAGTCCCCAGGAACCGATTCAGTTGATTCATGGAGTTGCTTGTCATCCCCTCTCCTAGACAACTGTGATCTCTGTGCCCTGGAACTTAAGGGTGAAGTGGCGAGATGTCAGGCAGCAGGTCAGGTACCCAGGTTCCTATTATGGTTTGTGTCTAGGTGTGCCCTCCTCCCCCATTTCACTGTAGGTGGGGCTTTGCAAAAGCAGCTGGATCTAGAGTGTGTGACCCTGGGATCAAGGGTGTGTGATTACTAAATGCCTCTATAGATTTGGCATAGCTCTGGCAGTGGGTAACGGGAAGGCCCACCCTGGGCATAAGCTCTACCCACCCCAAGGTCATGCATGCAGCTTGAGTAGATAAAGCTGCCAGGGGCTGGTGAGATGGCTCAGTGGTCTAAAGCACCTACTTAGAACAAGCTTAGCAAAGCACAGGGACCAAGGTTCAATCCCCCAGCCCCACATGCCAGCCAGCCATGCCCCCTGGTGGGCTGAGCTGGCCACACACACACAAATAAATAAATTTTTTTTTAAAAACAAACAAACAAAAAAAAAGCTGCCAGCCTCACCTGCTGCTTGCTGCTTTTTGCTTGCCTGCTCTGTGATGCCCTCTGCCGTGCCATCCTTCCTTGGACCCAGGCAACTAAGAATTGAAATTCCTCCAAACTGAGCTACAATAAACTTTTTCTCCCTTACCTTTGGGTGCTGGGTATTTTGTCTCAGCAAGAGTGAGACTATTTCCACCTGGGTCCTGTGCACAACAGGGACCACAAAAAAAAAAAAAGCACTCTGTTGGGGTCTGCAGGATGCACCCAGCCCTCTGGTGTATCTGCATAAGGCGGGGAGAGGGGGTGTATTTGTAAGCAATCCACAGGTGCTGCCTCAACAGCTAGCAGGATACCTCCCCCGCGACCCTAACACCCCAGGTCCCCATGTGACTACAGGCTGAAGGAGCAGACTCAGGAAGTAGGCAAAAGGGACATATATTTAAAAAGATTTCTTTACATATATACATTGGGATTCATTATAAATACACATAGAAATCGGGCCACCCGCCGCAGGTTTGAGGAGGGAGAGGTGGGCGGGCAATAATTTAGGGCACAGGGGAAAGGGATTGCATATATTAACGGGGTCTGCTCCCCGCGGAGCCCCCCTGAGGTGGGGCCTGAGCACCGGGATTTCCTGAGTGAGCAGCTCCGATGACGCCCGCCTCCTGGGCTCCCGGGCAGCCTGGGTACACAGGCAGGGGGCATGTGCCCTGCCCTGCCCAGCCCGGCCCAGAGGGTGCACCCCGCACCAGCTCGCAGCCCAGCTCCTGAGTACGGGCCAGCCGCGGGGTCTGCAGGGAAAGGCACTGAAGGGCCTGTGCGCCCCCTGCCATCCCAGAAAAGAGCTCCTGGTCACCGTGATGCAAGCTGCCTCACGCCTAGCCTAGGAGTTGGGGAAGGGAGGGCTGAAGTGGATCACGCTCTGCCGCTCTGGGCCCCCGCTGCCCGCTGCTACAGCACCCGCACCGGCGCCCATCAGTGGGCCCGGGGGCTCAGCGGGCGCCGTGTGCAGGGAGCGCAGCATGTCCTCCAGCACTTCCTTGAAGTTGATGTCACAGCCCTGGTGGGCCAAGGCCGCTGGGTCAGGTGCGGCATTACGCGCGCCCAGCAGCAGCAGACCCGGGTCGGGCGGGGGCGGAGGAAAGGCGAAGTGCGGTGGCAACGGCGGCGGGAAGGCCTCAGCTGGGGGGCTATAGGTTAGGTCCAGCACCTCACCAGGGCCACAGGACAGCGAGAGTGGGAGCCGCGGGGTGGGCGGTGGGACGGGGCGGTTGCGGCGCTGCACCTCGGCATCCATCTGCCGCAGCTCCTGCAGCACGCGGCGCACGCAGCCCTCAGGGATTTTGATTCCTGCGGGTGGGTGCGGCGGTCACGGTCGGAACCCTCCGGCCCGCCACGTGCTCATGCTGCCCCAACGCCGCCCACTCACCCACTTGCTTCTTCCTGTCCTTGGTCTTGAGGCGCACGATCTGCAGGTAGCTGCTGCTGCTGACGTCCGCCATGACCGCAGCCACTCGGCCCCACACGCGCAGCAGCGCGCCACACAGCACGTAGTGGTGCCGCAGCCGCAGGCCCTGCACGCAGTCCTTGCCTTCCTGGGTCACCCGGCAGTGCTGGTTCCTGTGGGCCGAGTGCACGACTCTGGATCCAGCTCTTGCCACTGCTGCCTCACGGGGGCCTGCCCACATCACCTTTCTCCCTCCCTCCCTTCTCCCACGCTCACCAAGCCATGTGGCTGCAGTGTGTCAGTGAGTAGGCATAGCTGCTCTCCCAGTGCTCCTGTGCTTCCTCAGCGGTGACCTGGGGACGACCTGAGGTGAGCCCCATCCCCAGCTCCCAGCCCTGAGACCCACCTGACTCACCACACTGTTCAAGGGGCCCTACCTACCTTCTGGAACCTGCGGCACAGGCTGTCCAGGGTCTCTGGCTGACTCTGGCGCCCGATGTTTGGCTTGTACACAGTGAAGTGCTTGCCGCTGCCCTGCTCGGCCAGGAGACAGCTCAGCTTGTTGCCTCGCACCTGTGGAGGGGAGTGTGAGACTGGCCCCCCAGGGTACAGGGCAGAAAACAGCCACCCTGTCCAACCCCTGGAGTGCCAGAGCTGGAGAATTGCACACACACCTTGTAGGAGAGGTAGAAGCCATCATAGAGGCCTGTGAGCCCCAGTGACTTGGTGAAGGCTTCTTCCCACTTCAGCCCACGGTCCACGGTGATCTGCCAGGACACAGGGTGTTAGGGTGCAGGTGGGCAGGTGGGTGGGTGAGCAGGCAGGTCACAGGGCTGGGCAGTGGCTGCTCACCGTGTAGAAGACCACCTGTCCATCCTGTGGGTGCCCGGGGGCCAGGAACACCTGCTGGTTCTCCTCATAGATCTCGTCAATTCCAGGAGCTAGGTCTGTGGGGAAGGTGGGCGGTAAGGGCCGGGGTGATTCCCATGTGGGCTGAGATCCTCAGCCCCTCGCCTGGGGGCCAGCATCTGAGGCCTGGCTGGTCCCACTATCCTTTTTCTTTTTGGCTGATAATGGGGTAAAACCCTTTGCACCCACACTTTGTGTTTATCGTTGAGTCAGCGTCTTGCTAAGTTGGCCACACCTGGCTTGATCCTACAATCCTCCTAGAGTAGCAGGGTTCCAGGCCCTGCCACCATGGATGCCTATGCTACTTTCCTTGTGGTGCTGGGGAGTGAAGCCAAGTCAGCCTACCACCAAGCAGGACCCTGGCCCCTGCCCTGCACTTTGGGGTCTACTGACCCCCAGCTTTGGGTATGTCTCAGTGGGGGCAGTATGCAGAAGTCAAATGTCCTCCCAGTGGGGTCTATTTGTGTGACGTGGGACTCCAGGCAGGTCCTGAGTAGCTCAGGGTCAGTGCCCTGATCTGAACAGCTGCTCAAGGGGACTGTGGGAGCAGCCGAGTGAGCACACCACAGTCGTGTGTCCTTTTGCCATGCTAGGGATGAAACGCCAGACCCCACGCACTAGGCAACCTCCCAACACTGAGCTACACCCCAGCCTTATAGTTTACTCATTTTTTATTTTGAAACAAGGTCCCACTAGGTCACCCAAACTGGTCTTGAATTAAAGCTCCTCTAGCCTTAGCCTCCTAAGTATCTGGGATGACAGGTGTAAGTGAGTCTGCTTGGTTTGTTTAGGTTTTTTGTTTTTTGCCATACTGGGGATTGAACTCAGGGCATTTCCACTGAGCTACATCCCTGGACCTTTTTTAATTTTTATTTTGGAACAGGATCTGGTAAATCACAAAGCTGCTTAGAGGCAGGGCAATAAAAATCACGATCCCAAATGCTGAGATTTTGGGTATGTGCCAACATGCCCAGCTTGCGATGGAAGTTTTACTGATATTCCTCCATTTGTACTCATGGTCAACAGCAGTCTATGCAGTAATGCCAGAGAAGGTTTATAGGCCTTTATATGAGGAAGATTTCACTAAAGCCAAGGTTGTGTGCTTGGGTCACTGGGTAGCCTGGGATAAACCTCGAGCCCATCCAACATGTGCCCGCGGCTCACCGAGGATGCCCATGTCGTATCTGCCCTCCTTCTTGTCCATCTCAATGAGGTGGTCAAAGGTGTCAGAGAAGTACTGGAACAGTGCATTCTGCTTGTGGACCTCCAGCCCCAGGATGCGGTTCAAGAACTTGGTGATGGAGCAGTCTGGGGGGTGGCAGGAACCATGTCTCAGGGTCGGGCAGGCAGCCACTGCCCTCCCTCCATGCCTGGGTTTGCAGACTCACCCTTCTCCACATCCAGCCCACCAGACCGTGACTCCCGCCCACCGATGCCGACTGATAGCAGGCCCAGCTTCATGTCTGTGGAGGAGGAGCCATTCCTG